ACATTGTAAGTATATAAAGTTCGGAACTAACTAGAAGTTCTTCTTAGCGTGTTCTAGATCAGACTTGATTTTGTGCAGCTGACCTCAAACTTACGCCGGCTACAACATTGACCCTGCAGCAACTTACATCTGTCTCATCAATATACAGGCACATTATGGATTAGATTCACTGCCGCCGGAGAGACTTTTTGGTTTAATGGTCAGCCATTACCGGAATATCGGCCATCGCTATTGGCACAGAAAAAAAAGACAGTCTACACTTTTCCCTTCCAGCAGACAGAGACTATTTGAGATGTGATTAGATCCATTTCCATCTACCTCTGCAGTCAAGCATTGTCCGAAACTTGAATCTGCTTTGGGTTTACAGTATTACCAAAACTGTCTGCAGGACAAAGTAGGTGCGGCTACCATAAGTAGTACTACCTACAGTAAGCCTGTGATGACAGCGTATATGACATTACATTCTTTTTGTCCATACAAGCAAGTACATCAAAGGTTGAGCCTTAATTTCATAATTTTCTTGTGGCACCAAAGAAGTTATATTGTCTGGCAAACAACTGGCATACATTAATGAGCAGTGTCAAATTGCCAGATACCAGCAAGCTGTGAACACTCAAGACACCACGTTGAAAATGATCAGAAGCATTCAAACTAAAATATGGGTCATAGAGGCGTAACTACTGGTTGTTTTGAAAGTCATATGATCTTGATTTCTGGTTTGCTGCACTGTATAAAATGACATTTCCATTGCCTGAAGAGTTGCTTGGAGCAATTTTGAATGCTATATGGTGCCATGAAGGAATAATTATCGCACACATAAAATTAAAGTTGTAACAGGTTGCATCCGCAATCTTTTTTGCAGACCGCGCTAATAATAACAGAAAGGGGACTACAAAAATACAAAGAAGAGGCTATGGAAAAGTGACAACCATTGATGCAAATGCACATGATAAGACCCTTCTTCATGCAGCCTGCAGACCTCTTTTAGTTTCCCAGCAATTTGTCTTTGATCCTGGACCCTGTAGTACTTGGTGAGTTCATCAAATGGTCTACCACATCTGCAACAAGATATTTGACCTCTCTTAAGCTTGAATGCATTGATATCTCCCTTGTATGGTAGGTGGATCATAAATCATAATCTTATTACAGATGTACCCTAGTAATTTAAGGCGAGACTCATAAACAGTTACACCCCTTTTTCAGAGAAATTTTAGTAGTGACTGCCAATTTCTTTGATCTAGTAACATTGTCATCTTGTTCTAGAATAGCATTTGAGTTTGTAATGGTCTGCTTTACTTTCCTTATCCTATTTCTCCTATTATATATCTCCAAATTCCTGGTGACTAATGAACCAAATTACTGGCCCTCAGCTTGAGGATTGTTGGCTGGGTCTAAAGCAAACCTCATTGACTGAGATAAAGACATATCATTTAAATTTGTTGGTTGAGCATTTTCAAGTGTAGCTGCGAGAATAATAAGAATGGGATATAAACCCTATCAATCAAATTAGCAAATGTAAAAATGACCCAGTTTTGGAACACAATAAGAGAAGATAACTCACAGACAGATTTGGCATTGCAGAAATGAACACTTGAACAGACAAGTCTGATGTTCCTAAGGAAACAGACAATGCAGCATAGATGATCTTATTTTGACAATGTCACTAGGGCTGAAACAGTAATACAAGTATTGCAGTGGTTGTTGACTTGATTCTAGACCAGTTTTTGATTTCTGCAGCTCAGCATTTTCATTTATTTGTGGCACTAGAACAAGCAGAGTTTGACCTTTTGCTCGAGTTGAATGCTAAAGCCCAACTTGGTTGATAGGTCTAGGGCTCAGGTAATTTTGTTTGTTTTTACCACCACAATTGAACAAAAATACCAAGACACAGAAAATAAAAAATGGTCTGGTATTTCAAAAACCACTGTAAGTTTCATGCTCACCCATAAGCCACAATAGACAATCCCAGATTCAATCAGAAGTAAGAGAATTTTTTGTACTTTGCTTGCTGAACTTTTGGTTGACCCTAAGTTCTTCTTAATGTCTTGCAGATGTTTCCTGTCAGTTCACTGGTTAGTATACCATTACTAGCAAATTTAGAAACCCACCAGGCTTTGAATCCAATCAATGATGTAGCAACCACATTTGTGGCAAAAAGGGGGAGAGTCAAGATTAATGAATCTGTTCCTTCTGCAAAGGTACCTGAAATGGTTTTTTTACTCCCTACAGCCAACAGTGTACCATCTACAAATGCACCAGCTAGAAAAATATAATCAGACTTCCCAGGCCAAGTACAAATGATACAAATTGCTTACCACAAGAACCAATCATGCAAATAACAAGAGCTACCTTGATGGCAATGTGCTGAGAGAATAATACCCATGCTCTCCATACCACAATGCTATCACTGACCACATACTAAGATAAAGAAAAATACATAGAATAATTTAAGTCGATGATTTATTCGCCAACTAAAATAGCTCACATTCAGCCTGTCAAAGGAATTAGAAGAAATATAGATATTTGCAAGTAGTGGAATGATTTTCTTAGGTTCTGGTGGATTAAAACTATTGAATGGAAGTTGCAATAGACTAAACTCCATTTTGAGAATTGTGGAAGCCATTGAGCTTAAGAGCATAAAAGATGTAAGAAACAACAGTCCATTCCTTGCTTTTGAATGGGATATGTCTCTTGCCCTTGAATTAAACACTTTTATAAATTTAAAGTCTATAAAACATCAACTTGGACTTACAGGAATACATAAATAGCTGTTGCGGAAAATGTTGCATACACTCCTAATGAAAAAAATCCAACTGCAATAGCAGAAATCATGCCCCTCAGGACAAGAAGATCAGAATCAGAAAGTGGTCGAGATTGCTGTACTTGTGATAGAGACATGAGTGGTAGGGGTGTTTGTGGCTCTGGGAGCCCTCCAAAACGACTCTTTTATCATCATTCTAAGAGATTATTAATATGACCCGTCAAAAAATGATGATCATTAAACAGAATTGATCTTAACTTGCTATCTCGTACAACTCCACATCACAGAGAATCCATTGGAGCCTTCTGATTGATGAGAGATAGCGCAAGCTAGGATACATAGTAGCATTCCAATAGCTTGGTTTAAGTCAAAAAAAAGTGCACTCAAGCCTATCTTTTCATAAATTATGGCCTCATTCCTGCCATACATAGTGACAACCCACCTCTTTAGTTCAGCAAGCACTAATTCAAGCCAGTGAACCTGTAAAATGTAATATTGATGTGATGGGTTTACAAAGGATCCCACCTTCTATACAAGCTAGATTTCAATGGATTTAAATGGTCAAATTTCTCATTGCAAATGTGCCTTATTGACTCTGATTCCTATCTAATATTGTACACAGATGGAAATTCAACAGAACGCCACATTCTGAACAGATCGATGGCAGTATTTTAGCAAACAGCATGTTGGATATCGTCACGGCGTTCCGTTGAATTAGTAAGCAACCAAGACACAAATTCTGTCATCACCAAGTAGATCATATCATGGATATGTTAGGCTTGGCTGGTTGAAGCTTGGTACACAGCTTTAGTGAAGGTCACCTGCTTATATCTTGTTAGATAGTTGTTGCGAGGCCGACGGAGGTTTCCCAAGGTCCCATCTTTACTCTGGTTGTAGCCTCGGTAGCTGCACCAGTTTCGCTAAATCCCCATTTACATTCTGCCGTAAGACCACAGGGCTCACCTGAACACTCCCACAACACAGCCATTATGCCATAATCACTCAACATATCCAGCTTCATACACGCCGTACGCAGCTCCAACCTTTTATACTACTTACAGTCTATCACAGCTGTGTGAGCGATGGGCACCGCCAAAACCCCTCCATCATTTTGGACATAGTTCAATACATTTCCAGCTGTTGGTGGGTACCATACTTTCTGGCCTATGCATACAGTCCCTCACATTCTCAAACTGGTGTTATTTTACATGAGGTTCTGGCTCAAATGGTCACTATTCTCCTCAAGAATAGCTAAACTGGTGGAGTCAGGATCACTAGTCTTCTTACTAGTAGTTGAATTCCACGAGAATAAAAGTAAATCTTTATGCCACATTAGTTTGGTGGCATAATTAATTGAGAAATCAAGGAGTATATTTTGTACTCCCACGGATCATCATCTCTAGAGGTTTATCTATGAGCAGCAATGTCATCCACAATCTGAAATATATCCCTATACCTCATATATTTAAAATTATGGCTTCCCTTTATGGTGCCATATTTGGCCTAAGTAAAAATTCAATATCTAATTAGTTTATTCTTCTTTCAAACTTTTGTTAGCAAAAATATTGATATCTTTTCGCCCTTCATTAGGTGTTCCCGAGTGACAGCGACGGGCAAGCCTTGTTTAGCCTGAGAATTATGGCTTTGCATTGTGGTGTTCTGTTTGCACATTGCAAAGTTCAGTAATTAAATATTGAAATCTCTTTTTGGTTACAACTCGTTTCCTTGATGCATCAACAATTTGAAATATATCCCTATTTAGCCTGAGAATTATAGATATCACAAAGATATTCTCTGCTTCACGCACCGTTTCTAGGAGTAATTTAAAGGTGACTCATGAGTCATGAGCCCCAGTGGAAAAGTCAAGGTTCTGTTTCACTTTTTTTGCACCAACTACGCTTAAAATGTTTTCATATGCTTTTTGATCATGACGAATAAGAACTAGTAAGTGACCAGATCCTATTTAAGCCATGAATTCTTAATTTAGAGGGGAAAAGTATTTTTGACTGCTTTTTTCCTGCCTACTCCTCCTGGGGCCTCCACATAAAGGCACAATGGTACTCAGCATCTCTAGACAAGCCAGTTTAGTGATACCTGTTCCAGGTACTATAAATCTTGCACTGATTTCTGTTTTTCATGTTGGTTACAACATTAAAAAGGGGGACTGTTGTAACTAGTTACTATATTGTGCAAGTAAAGACCTCCACTTGTCACTACACACACTTGGTTGTACACCAATGGACCAATAGCTTAGTTGGTTTAGAGCAAGGTCACCAGTTATGCCTAGATCCCAGGTTCAATCCTTAGTTAGTCTAAGTCATATTTATCTCGAGATCAAGTCACCACAGGGACCAAATTTCGCACATCAGAAAATGTCAAACAAAACCTTAACTTCTCACTGGGCATAAACAATTATGCCCCTGTTTTCACTCTTAGGATATATTGCAGCACTACTCAATTTCAGTTATTCAAGTACAAATTTTCAATTTTCACAAGGTTTGCTTGTCGCCGTCGCTCCGGGGAGTGACTATGAAGGGCGAACATCTGTTGCGAGGCGGAAGGATATCAATTTCACTTCTCATTCAGAATTTCGAAGAGGAATAAAGCAACTAGATGTTTAATTTTTACTTAGTCCAAACATGGTGCTACAAAGGGAAGCCATAATTTTAGAGATATGAGGTATAGTAATTTATAGTTTTTGTTGAAATTTTTGCTGAAAGGATATAGTATCTGGTTACTTGCGTCGCTTGAGCAGACGGGATAGCCCCCCACAACCTTCGCAGACGTGGGTCATAAATTGCCTTCAACATCGACAAAATCATCTGACAACTTAAAGAATTACCTCAGTCACGAACTACGGATTGTGCAAAAAAATTAATGGCAACAGCTGCATCTTTCTTCGGCCGACTGCGACGAGTTGGAAAGAATCGGAGGGATCTGCTTCGGGGACCTTAAAACTAAATCTACGGTTCCAACTAATTTCAGACACTAACCTGAGACTCTTCTTTCACAGATTCTGCACAGCATTCCGTACCATTGTCTCTTGAGGCGCAACAGCCCTATTGATCATGTTAACTTTCGGATACTTTCGACATAACCATAAACCTTTACCCACCTTATCCGATTTCAGTGCTGCGGGAGCCTTGCTTGAGCTTGCACCATCTGAAGGCTGAGCTGTATCACTGCAGCATGCTTTCAGGCAAGACGCAGCTGGCTTTCCTTCGGAGGATGCCCTTGGTTCACAACAAGTATCGACGGCAGTGCCGTGAGATGGGCCAGCTTGTAATTCATTTGTTTCACAGCCCCCACAGCATGAATCCGCTTTGTCCGTCTTTCGTGGACTTGATACGTATTCATGACTGCAGCATTTCTCACCTTCTCCGTTAACAGGTACACAGCAACCCTAGCACAATTACTTTAAGCACACATTCACCTCGTAGACAAACTTCTTACTGACCTTGGAGATGTGCGAGCTAGCATCCGAAGAACACTTACATTCACCAGAATTTCTGCACTCTTCCTTCTCGTTACAGCATTCACAGAGATCGCGATACCTTTCCTCCATCCCAACTTCTAAGTTTTCTCTCCGATCATCTACTTTACAATGTCCACAACATCCACCATCGAAATCCGGACTTCTGACCCATCTTAACAACTTGATACCTTCCCAAGCGAAACTCAAGCCCAGAACGATGGAAGTCGCACTGTCAACCCACCAACCGCCCCGCCAGACTTTGAATATCAGCGCACCGACGAATAGTACTATGGTGATTTGAATACAAGATAAGGAACACTGAGCTTCAGCTTGCATCGCGCTGCTATTCAGAGCGCGCGCGAGGTAGCGCTTCGGCAGCCAGATGACGATCATCAATACCAACGCGGAGGCAGAGACGGCAAGAGATACAGTAGACGAAGTGGGTTCAGAATGCTTGATGAGACCGTATATAGAGGTTGCTTCGGTGGCCAAGCCAAGCAGAATCAAGAGATAAGCAATGCAAGTTGACGCAATTCGCTCAATTCTAAAAAGGAAATCGTCTTCATTCTCGTGCAAAAGACAGATGCTTGGACAAACCTCAATTCCTTAGCATTAAGCTCTCTAGACCTCTCCTCCCCTGGCTTTGCAATCGTTCTGAATCGCCATACAACCAAGATTGAGGATATCACCTCGATACCGGATTGGATTCCAAAGAAGATCAATGAGCGCGACTCTGCATCCGCTCCCAGTCCAATTGAGACGCCACCCTCTGCACCATTGTATATGATGCTGGCAACGCTGATGGCTAGGGCGTATTGCTGTAGACGACGGTATGATACGCTGGGCATGGTTGTGGTCTGACTCAGAGGAGCGGAGTTTGAACACGAGCTTCGAGGATATATTTCTCTTCACACGCCGTAACAGGTTACATTGTACCAGCAGCCTCAACGCATACACGCGTTCTACGCTAAGCTCCGAAAGAAGTTTAATGGATTCTACAATACATGGATATGCAGCCAATAAATTATAACGTCCTATCATTTCGCTCAAAACGGCCGTGGCTTTTGTGGAACAAAAGGAGATCTATTTCGGCCGGCATCATCCCCTGCCGCACTTAGATTCGAAAAAGCCGCAGAACCTCGCACTGGCAAAGCAACCTCAGAAGATGAGTAAGATGAGGAGGCGTAATCGTTTGCCACGTATTGCGATGGCCATCCCTCTCCACCCATTTCGGGATCGGATTGTTGATGTACTTCTCTTGATACACCGATCTTTGTCTAGGCCCCGAAGGACTTCAATACTCGTCGATGGTTCAAGGATCTTGACTTACCATCTGAAAATTATCATATGTTTGCTAGAAAGACGTTCTCGACGTCAGTGTTAAGTTTTTTTGCTAAGAGATGAAGAACATACCTGCTGAGGCATACGACTAGGAGTACTCCTAGTCCCATTGAAAGTAGTAGACTCGTCCGAGTAATTAAATAGAGCGTTTTCGTCGTCTACTTTGGCCGGCAAGTTCCTGTATCTCCAGCTGTTTCTTGCATTCAACCTGTTTTTTGTTTTGTGGTTACTTTGCTACAAACTTGAGGAACATTACTTACGAGCTAAGGAGTGTATTCGTATAAAGTTTCGATAAGCAAAGGTCCCAGGAAAAGAATCTATGAGTTGTCAATTAATCCCTTAATTTAGTTTAGCATGGACGGATTCACTTACATACTGCTATGCTATAAACGACAGTTCAGAAAAAAAGGCAACATAACGTTACAGGGACCCGCACTTACCGGAACAACGATGAATACTATTGCATCTGCCAGCGCACCGATAGCAGTGATTGCACCTGTCTGAATAGATACTAATCCGCATGAAAACCAAAGCCAATCAGTGGAGTGCGAAAGCAGATACATCGTATAATCCGATCAACCTGATCGTTCAATATCGAAAGATTTGTTTTCTTTCGAGACTGCCATCGAATCTCTCGTCAGAATGGACCCTGATGAAAAAAACTTTTACGTACCAACGCATACACCAAACACACCGCAATGAGCACGTCCGCAGCTGCAGAGGTTATCAACCATATAATGGGGGCTGCTCGAAAGTTGTCGAATGCGGTAAACTGTGGTGTCTGTGAAAGCGCGATGGAGAGCCATAGTGCTCCACCTGGAAGAAAGAGTGTCAATACATCAACCCAGTTTCATGGACATCGTAAATATACATACCCACAGAGGTAACAGCTAATGCAGCTATTACCACAAATGGAACCCAGGATTCCATGATTACTTTGATTCGCCAGCCCATAAATATTTGGACAGGTGCAGAGATCAAGGTCTATGAAGTGTTGACAATAAAATTCTGTTGGAATTCCCAATTTCAATACTTACGGTAACTATTCCGTCTGCAAGACATTGAAATTTTCTTAGAATGGCGTTTGACAAAGGTACTAAACATGCACACCTGCTCGGAGAACTGTAGATCGAAGTTAGTCAAGAAAAGAAATCGAAACTTATGGGCTGATACGCACATACAGGTGACGTTACAAGAGCGCTTTGTTCGCCTGGTTTGAATCTTCAGTGAGAGAGAGCAGAAGGAATAAATATGCACTCTTACCCCATTTCAATAACAAAGGCTCGTACACTATGGCTAGATCGAAAATTGTATTTGCCGTGTCTGCCACGAATAAATATCCGATCTAGTATAAACATCAGGATGGCTATTACCTTGAACAGGTCAGTAAATCGGCTCACCAAGAGCTTGATCCATAAAGCATCTCTGACGATACAAGTCAGATTGAAGTCAAGTAAACTCACGCAAAAGCTTACCTTTTACATGTCGAGACGTAGAAATAGAGCTGGAAACATACTTAGCGGAATGCTTGTAATGAGCCTTAGATTGTACTTGCCTGCACTAACATAACCTAGTAGGAGAGTCAGAATACCTAACTGGCTTTAAAACACTACTCACTCCGTATAATACAGCTCCTAGGGCGGAACCAACAAACATGGGTGCATATCTGGACGAAATAAGTATTAGAAGACCATAAAATACAGGAGACGTACGTTTCCGTTACCGATGGAGGACCAGCCGGCATGATGAAAGGAGAGGTGATGAAGGTCGAATGCCAGTGGGGACTAGAAGGTGGTGCGTGATTTTGGTCGTTTTATTTAAGGATGCTGCAGTTGGAGGCGACCGGGAGATATGCAGCATGATGGTTCGGTAGGGAACCTGTTTCATCAAGGACTGATGGAAAATCACCAATTTCAGTCGTGTATTCAATTTCTCTTCCTGTCCAATGGTCACAAGCCAGTTGATGGGCCACCATGCAATGGGCTTGAAATCGTGCAACAGAAATAGAACAGTGTATAGATGGTTGTAGCGAACAGATCGTACCTTTGCGTCAAGTTGAAGTTCGGCCTGAGGATCTTCTCTGCTTCTGCCTGGGTTAGCAACCGCGTGGTAAGACTGGATGGATCGACGTATTCCGCAACAAAAGTGAATTAATTCTGCAGCGCCTCCTATCAACACAAAATAAATGGAGGCAACATACTCTACGTGTCCGTCAATTCGGTCTTTTGACGGGAGCCACGGAAAGTTAGCATAACCCCGATGCATGCATATCTTTGAGCACACATAAATCATCTCAACGTCGTGCTGCAGGTTGTAACGAGAAACGGTGCGACGGGTTGATGACGATGCCCGTGAATCCGATCTATTCAGTTAACGGTAACGGTAAAATTCGAGTCGGCAATACTATGCCTCTTGATTTATTTCATGACAGAGAATAAAAATAACCACTGGTCACTCCCTCAAAGCTCCAGATCTGAAAAGCCAGCAGCATAATGGTCG